AGCAGGGCGGTTCAGGAACCCACTTGCAGCCCATCAAAAATTGATTTAATTGCAATTTTTCCTCCAATTAGGAGCACTGGAGCCTGACTAATTGGAGTAATAGAGAGTAATAAGGCTCAGATAAAAAGCCTTCCCTGGCTCCCTTTGTATCCTGTGTCAGTGCCTGTCAGAGGTCAGGGAGCTTGCATATTCTATTAGGCAGCCCGGCCTTCATTTGTACAAATTAGTTTACCCAACAGTAATTAAAATGCCAATGCGGGTTGAAGAGAACTGAATACACTTGATGGGCATGTTGGTGAATGATGTGACAGCTCTGGTGGCCTCCCCTGCCAAAGTGTGTCAGCCTGGGCTCAGGCTGCTGGGGCCTCGGCCAGCTGGGTGGCTCTGGCTATCCATGGGGCACAGCTGCTAAGGGAAAGCCCTCTGCCTGTCTCGGGGCCAGGCTCCTCTTCTCCAGGTAGAATCATTTGTTCAACCTGTTGATTCATTTAATCACTCATTCAGGAACTTTGGGGATTTCAGGCCGACATTGTACTATGTTCTGGGAACTCAAACAAAATTAACTTGATGCATAGCTCACATGCAAGTTTGTGGGGTGAGCGGTGATATAATGGATTCTAGAATTAAGAGGGACAACCCTAATCCTACTGCTTGCTGCTCAGGTGAATACGAGGCAGGTTTATTACCTCCCTGAGCTTCCTAGTCTGTGGGGAAATGCTAGTAAAATACTTGTCAGCACCTTACACAGAGTAGGGGCTCAGTGAATTGCAGTTGCTTGGTATGGTGATGCATGCTGTAATCGTACACTTGGGAGGCTGAGAGTTCAAGGCTAGTGTGGGCCACATACAAAGACTCTGTCTCTAAACAAACAGTAAGTAAATGATAGCCATTCCCCTGTGTCTGTGAGGGTTGGATCCACTGCCGTCCCCTAATCAATACCCAGATCTTCACATGTGCAAGTCTCTTCTTTAGTAAATGCACAGTAGCCAGCAGGTGGTGAATCCCTGTAATCCCAGCACCTGGGAATGAGAAGCAGGAGGGCCACTGCAGTTTGATGCCACCCCGCCCGAGCTTGATAGGGAGTTCCCAGGCAGCCAGGGTTCTCAACCAAACCAAACCAAACCAAACCAAACCAAACCAAGCCAAGCCAAGCCAAACCAAGCCAAGCCAAGCCAAGAGCTGGAGAGGTGACTCAGGGGTTGTTAGAGGCACTTGCTGCTTTTGCAGGGGACCTGGGTTTGGTTCTCAGCCCCATGTGGGGCAGCTCACAGCTGCATGTAACTCCAGCTTCAGGGTTAATGTCCCTTCTTACCCTCTATTTTTCTGAATTTTCTTAACCTTCTCATCTTCATTCTGCTTCAGGACCCCCGATTTTCCTAGTATCTCTCTCGATTTGAATGACTTCTGTGTCCACTTAGGACCTTCTGGCCCATGTGGTACCAGACTTGCCTGAGGTAGGATCAAGTGGCAGGTTGAGGGTCTGGACAAGGGCTGAGAAAGGATGAGAAATTCTAGGCTAACTTTGTTATTAAAAAGAAAAAGTATAGCTTATCGAGTCTGAGGGACTGTTACTCCCCATCAGTGGATAACTATGGTATGTTGCTGTTCATGTTTGAATCTGGTGATTTGGGGACTCCTCCTTTAAGAGGCAGAAGGACCAATTTTCCTGGCTGTTTGATTGGCCTCTCTCTGTTGGCTTTGAATTCCGGGAGGCCCCTTTCTGGTCAGTTTCATTGACCTGTATTGAATGCCCTTTGGGCTAGGCACTGTATTAGACACAGGAGTATATGTGGGCAGTATCTTAGGAAGAGCCACGGAAGGAATGCATGTGTTTCATTTTATTGGCATAGGATAAAGTGTGTGGGGGACTTTGGTGGATTCCATGGCAGGCGAGGATGACTGAGGCAGGGGACAGACATGCCAGGCAGACAGAGCTTAAGGGAGAAGTTTTATTAGAAAGGGGAGGGAGGGGGAAGGAAAGAGAAAAGAGGTAAAAGAGACACAGAGAGAGGACAGGAGGGAAGAGGAGACCGGAAAAGTCCTGTCTGCTCCAGGGGAGGGGCGGGGGATGGGGTGGGGTGGGGTGGGGGTCGGGGGGGGGGGAGGAGGCGCAGCAAAGAGGGGAGCATAAGTGGGCGGGGCCTGTCTTTAAAGGGGTCCTTTGCACCTGCGTGCAGGCTAGTACTCATGGAACCCTGGGCTGACCAGGGTACTGCCTGAGTGCATTGTGCCAGGCGACAGGGGCGGGCCCCATGTAACGCCTGAATCCTTACACCCAGCATAGTGAAAACCCTGACACAAACCCAGCACAGACATTAGGCTGACTCCAAGCAAGTACAAGATGAGATCAGGCTTTACATCTGGGAGCAAGGGCTGTGGAGCTTAGAGAACTGGGGAGAATCTTCCCAGTAGGCATAGCCCCCCCCCTTCCCCACACACCCCACCCCACCCCACCCTGTTTGCTTGTTTGTTTTTCAGAACAGGGTTTCTCTGTGTAAGAGCCCTGGTTGACCTTTGTGACAAGGCTGGCCTCAAACTCACAGAGATTCTCCTGGAGTCACCACCTCTGAGCTGCCATTGCTCTATCAAGACCAGGCTGGGAAGGTGCTGTGCTGGCAGCCCTGTCTCCTCATTAGCATCCGTCTTCAATGTGGCTAGTCTCCTGCTTTTGCCACACTCTTCCTAATGACCACAGAGAGGCTTTGGGAAGAGGGCAGGCAGAAAGCGTAGCCATGGCAGTGGGGAGGGCCCCGGAGCGTGGGGCTGCATCTACAGCCAGTTTGACTCCTTGACACCCAGGTGGTCCCTTAGACTGGCATGCTCCCCAGTGAGCCATCTCTCTGCAGTCTGTATATCACATGACGTTTATGTTACTAAACTCTTAGGCCTCCTACGGCCAGAAAGACATTCGAGCTTCACAGCACCTAGGCAAAGCGGAAAGTACACCTAGGCAAAGAAGGAAACGTTTACAGGTATCTTTAAAGGCTATTAAAGAGGCAAGGGGCCCTCTTCTTGGCAGCAGATGGTCAGGGCCAGGGATGAATGGGACAAACAGAGGACCGGAGTCCCCTGGGAAGGGTTTGCATCCCCCACCCCTACCCTACTGGCTGGGAGGTCAGGACTTCGGGAGTGGCAGGGATTAACTTCCAGGCCCCTCCCCCACCTCTATTGATTTACCTTGAGACTAATTTAGGCCTGTGGCCAAGAAAGAGGCCTAGAGAGACTTCCTTAAGAGATGTCTGTGTCTGTGCTGGCGCCCTTCACCTGGCCCCAACTCCTCAAGTCTGGAGAGCCCAATTGCCTGCTCCAATGATTTCCAAGTAGCTATTATGTTTCCAAGCCAAGGTAATTGGCTTTACCAGTTATTAATGGGTTGCCCCAAAGAGAAAATGCAGGAGGGGCAAGGCGAGGGTAACACCTCCTGACTCTTAGCTTGGTTCTTTGGGTGTTCAGTGGCTGCTGCCCAGGCTAGGAATCACTTGGGGCATGCCAGGCAGGAGAGGCTGCTGGCAGTACTGTAGATGAAGAGGGAGTTGGGATGCTACCATATTCCTGGAGGAAGCCTTGGAGGCTTGAGGCTTGAGAGCCCCAGGGTGCCATATTTGGCCATGTTCTAGTTCAGAGATGACAGGTGGGCACTAGTCTACACTTTTGATAGTAAACCGGCCACTTGGCCAAGGCCATTTCCCTCAGCACCTGGCAGCTAGCTCCTCACCTGCTGCATTGTCCAAGCCACTGCCTTTTCCAGAACCTTCTCTTAGAACTATGCCTCCCAGTGACATGTTGGGAACAGAAAGCACAGGTGCTGGGCACTGTAGGCCAATGGGCTGCTTGCCTACTTGGTAAACATGTCATTAGTGTATGCAATCTTCCTTCCCCTGTGCAGGACATTTAAGGACCTGGCCCATCCCTGCCCCAGTGCTTTTAACCTTAGTAACTGACATGAGGTTTCTTTTCTTTCTCTTTGTTTGTTTGGGTTTTGTTTTGTTTGAAACCAGGTTTCTCTGTAGCCCTTGCTATCCTGAACTTGCCCTGTAGACCAGGCTGGCCTCGAACTCAGAGAGATCCGCCTGTCTCTGCCTCCCGAGTGCTGGGATTACAGGGGTGCGGTACCCCCCACTGCAACTTTAGGTTTCTTAAGCTCCCCACCTCCCCAATCATATAACAAAGGTGTGCTCCTAGCACTGTGGCTCATTACACCCATCCTTCCCCCAGAGCTTGTGCCCCACACCCTGGAGCCATGCAGACCAGCTGTGCTGAGTGCTCTGAGACTCTCTCAGCTGCCTGCTGCAGTGCTGACGGTGCCCTTAGAGACTTGTGCTGACTCCCATCTCATCCCCAGCAGTCCTGGCTACTTGCCCCTGCTCCCTGGTAGCTACATTATACTCACTGGGGATGTATGCACCTTTCCTATTGCCCTGTCTTTGTACAACTTGTTAGAGTCTTCCAACTATTGGGGGTGGTGGAGGAAGAGACAGAGTCTCAGTCTATAGACCAGCTTGAGTTCTGGCCTTGAACTCAGAGATCTGCCTGCCTCTTTACCTCCCTAGTGATGGGATTAAAGGTGTGTGCAGCTGTGCCTGGTTTCCCAACTCTGAAACCCTTCTGGAATGCCTCCAGTTGATTGGGTATCACTTGTCAGTCCCAAAAGTATATCCCCAGGAGACTTTATGGCATTGAGCCTCAAGTCTCAAACAGCTCTATCTTTAATAAGCTCACTGCACTACCTTGGGCTCAGAGCTGGTCAGCCCAGTCATCAATGGTTGAACCTGTAGGGCCTCTAGTCAGCCTCGGGAGGTGCACCCCTCTCCACACACCAAGGCACCAAGTTACTGTCTCTTCCAGACTTCTGTGGTACTTCCTCATTCTCTCTCAATGTTTCTTTTTCTGGCTTAACCCCATGATCCCTGGGGAAAGAGCCCTGCATTTCTAATGTGTAGCCATTTCCGCTACAAGTTCTGACAGGCCAGCTCTAACTCCATTCTCCTTTTGTTTGGCAGCTCTTTTGTGACAGGAACAGCTTGTTGTGGGCACTTCTCACCTCTGAGAATCTGGGACCTCAACAGGTAAGAGATCCCTAACCCACAGTGGTATTCAGTGGGGGGCAGGGCTAGGAAAGCAGGGAGACAAAGGAAGAGCTAGCTAGCTGGCCCCTGTCCCACTTTACCCAGTGGTCCCACAGAAGGGGATGCTGGGAAGACAGCACACCTCCCCACCCTCCAGCAGCTGGGGGACAGTTGAGAGCACCTGTAACAGGCGAGTAATTTCATGTAGGGTTGATAGTAACTACTTGAATTTAACATATTCTGAAGAGTGCCTGGCTATGTAAGCTATCCTCAGAGGGGGGATTTTCAAAGGTGGCCTACAGAACTAATAAAAACAATTTTTGTATGGGACAATTACAGTACAGCCAGGGTTTCTTCACAGTTCTCCAGCTAGCAAGCTTGACACATTCTCAATCTCACTGATTGTCTGCCATTCTGATTTTTGTTTGTTTGGTTTTTGAGACAGGGTTTTTCTATGTAGCTCTGGCTGCCTTGAAACTCACTCTGTAGACCAGGCTGGTCTCAGATTCACAGAGATCCACCTGCCTCTGCCTCCCAAGAGCTGGGATTAAAGGTGTGAGCAACCTTTGCTAGCTGGGTTTTGTTATTTTTTTTAAGCCAAAAACTTTTATTTTGAATTAATTCTAGATTCATAGCAAGTTATAAACTAGAACAGAGGGTACTTGTATAGCATCTTATATAATGTAGTGTGTCAAAAAGCAGGAATTGACATTGATACATCCCATAACCCTTTCTTGTGACTAGAGTGCCTACCACCATAGGTGGTATAGATACCTCCTCATATTCCCTTTTACCTGCATTCTCTCTAATTCCCCACAACCACTTAGATGCTCTCTGCCTCTAGTTTTGTTATTTTGAAGAAATAATATAAATGGAATCGTATAGTGTATTACCTTTTTAAAAATTTTATGTGTGTGTAGGGCTGTTTTGCCTGCATGTGTGTCTGTGCAGCATGTGTATGTAGTACCTGCAAAATCCAGAAGAAGGCATCAGATTCCTCTGGAACTGGACTTATAGTGGGTTATGAGCTGCCATGTGGTACTGGGAATTGAATCAGCGTCCTCTGGAAGAGCAATCAGTGCTCTCCATCACTGAGCTGTTTCTCCAGCCCTAGTGTGTTACCTTTTAAGAATAGCTTTTTAATGCCAGGTATGATGGCATATACTTTTAATCCCAGTACTAGAGAGGCAGAGGCAGGCAGATCTTTATGTGTTCAAGGCCAGCCTGATCTACATAGTGAATTCCAAACTTGCCAAGGCTACACATGAGACTCTGTCTCAAAAAACAATGATTGGTTTTGTTTTGTTTTGAAAACAGCAATTTGCTCTGAGACCCAAAGATATGTTGTATAATCAGTATCTCATTCCTTTTTAATTACTGAGTAGTACACTAGTCCATGTGTAAATGCACCAAAATTTTTTATCCTGGTGAAGAATATTACCCATTAGGGACATGTGAGTTGTTTTTAAGTTTGACTGTTACAAATAAAGCTACTAAGACTATTTAAGCATAGTGTTTATGTAGGCATACATTTTAATTTCTTTTTTGTAAGATTCTTTAATTATTGATTTACTTTTTAATTCCTACCCCAGCTCCCCCTCTGTCCCCCACATTTTCATTTCTTACCAGACTTTTCTAAGCACATCTCCCTCCTTTTGCATTCCCACCAGCAGGGTGCAAGGAATCTGGTTTCCTGTATGTCTTGACCAGTGTTTTGGTATTGCCACTGTTTTTTACTCTGCTGTTCCAGTACATGTTATACTGTGATTTTTAACTTGGCTTCCTCTGATAGCTAATGATGTTGAACATGTGTTCATATGCTCATCTGCAATCTGAATATGCTGTTTACAAAATACTTGTTCATGTCTATGGTCCATTACATTGCTTTTCTCCTGTTGAGTTTGAGCTTTATATAGTTTAGACATTAGTCCTTTGTCAAATATTAAAAATATTGTGAAATTTACAGATATCTTCCCCTAATCTGGACCTTGCATTTTTGTCCTTTTAATGTTCTCTGCAGAACAAATTGTAAATACATGTATGTGTTTTGTCTACACATACTTGTCTGGGCACCATGTGTGCGTGCTTGGGGCTGCAGAGGCCAGAAGATGGTGTCAGGTCCCCTGGGCCTGGAGTTACAGATGGTTGGGAACTGCCATGTGAATGCTAGGAACAGAATCGGGTTCTTTGGGAAAGCAACCATTGCTCTTAGTTATTGAGCTGTCCCTCTAGCTCTCAAACTTGAAATTTTGATCCATTTTCCTCTAATCAGCTGTGCCACACCTGCCAGTCTTCAGCCTGTGAGTGAAGAGGGAGGCTGCTTCCTGCTGTTCCTTCCCTCAGTTGCTCTAGCTCTGTCTCCACTTTCTTTCTCCTGCTCGGGGCTGGGCGGGTGTGTGTGTGTGTGTGTGTGTGTGTGTGTGTGTGTGTGTGTGTGTGTCAAGAGTCTTCTTTCTGAAGAACATGCCCCACGGCTAGTCTCTCCAGGAGTCAATACAAGGTGCTTACTCAAACACTTTCTTCCACATTCTGATGACCATCTGAGAACAGGGGTAGGATGCTCAGGATCTCCCCAGGCTACATTGCCTTTCTGGTCAATTCTGAGAACCAGAATGCCCACTCTTTGAGGTGGATTTGCTTCTTGGATTCATAGGTGTCTGAGAGCCTTGTGCCTGCCTCTCCAGGCTCTTCTTTTTCCCATGCCCACCATTCTAGTTCCTTAGTTGTTCTTCATAAACAGAGTTCATCAATTAACAAGTAGCTTTAGACTCTAAGTTATGAAAATCCAAGTCAAACAGCTCAATTAAGAATGGAATTATGATCAGAAATGGCAAAGACCCAGAAGCTGGGTAGTAGGGTTGATGGGTTAGTGGCCCGTACCATGAGGACCACATTCACTTAGCTTTCTCTTGGCATCTCAGTCGCGGTGTCTTTTGCCCCTGCATTCAGGCTTATTTAGAACAGTGCCACTAACTCAAAAGGCAATATTCAAAACCAGAAGGAAGACTTGTCTGTGTGTAGGGCCATTTTCCCAGAACCATGGAGCAGATTTCTCCTCACATCCAATTGTCAAAACTTTGTTCAAGGTCTCACCCTAAACCACACCCTGGCAAGGGACAAGGGAGCTGCCCGAGAGAGGGGCCAGCCTCTTCTAGAACGTTGGCACTGGCAGAGGGGGGGCAGGTGCTGCGGAACCAGGTTTGGTTAACGGGAAGAACACACGCAGTAGATCGGTGGTACCCTATAGAGTTGGCCTCATGCTGGCTTTGAGCCACTTACCTTCAAGTTTCTGAACCAGTCTCTCTGGGCACTGACCGGTCTAAGTGTGGTCCCATGTGAGATGGGTCTAGGTCTTCTGTGGGGCAGGAGAGATGGCTCAGTGATTAAGAGCTCTGGCTGTCTTCCCAGTGGACGCAGGTTGACTCCCAGTACCCACATGGTGGCTCCCAACCATCTATTATCCCAGTTCTAGCGTTATCTGTCACCCTCTTCTGGCCTCTGAGGACACCAGCTATGCATGTGGTGCACAGACACACATACACTTGCTTTGTTAACGCTTTCGGTAGTCACATCACGCATTGCCAGCTTAGCTAAAACTTCTAGGGCTCCTGTGGTCTCATGTCCTGAGGCTGTTGGCATCTTACACTTTGCGGAATTTGTTCTCATGGGTTTGTTCTGTGGAACTGCCATGAGTCTCTTTCCCCCTTGTGACTAAGTGAGGCAGGAGGACCCCTCCTGGTGGCGCTGTGTGCTGGAAGCAGTGGGCTGAGGGAGCCCTAGTTGTGTGACCTAAAAGGCTCCCACCCCAAAACTACATCTGGGGCCTCTCTAGAGTCCACTTGGGGGACTGAAAAATGGGCATCTGTTGTTCCCGACTACCAGAAATAGTTATGATTAAGTAACTGAAAAATGGCCCCACTGCCAACACCTAGCTCCTTTGCTGTCTCCCACAGTACTAAACAGTTTGTGGAGCCCTGACCTTTCTGGCTGCCAGCAGTAGCAGGAGAGGAAGTGCTGGCCTCACAGCAAAGAAGAGTCTTGCTAGTACAGCTGCAGTCCACGGGTTGGTGGCAGCAGTTTCAGTTCCAGTTACCCATATGGCTGGGGCTCATGTACCATGCCCTCTGCCTGGGGCCAGCTCAGGGAGGGAGGTCTGGGTACACCACCATGGTTTAGCAGAATCTCAAAGGTTGGATAATCAGTGAGCCTGGTGGTGTATGCCTTTTAATCCCAGCTTTTGAAAGGTTGAGGCAGGTAGAACTCCTGAGCTCAAGGCCAACCTGGTCTTCATTGTGAATTCCAAGATAGCCAGGGCTATACAGAGAGTCCCTGTCTCCACCAAACACACACACACACACACACACACACACACACACACACACACACACACACACACACACGGTTGGATGATCTTTGAACTGCCTGTGGTTTGCCGTGGAGGGGACTTAGGATCAGGATGGAGTTCTAAAAGACTGGCTCTTTGGATGTCATTCTATGAAATCCCTAGACCTCATCAACCCAACACGGACACTTCACTGAACTCAAAATGAACCCAAATAAGAATGGGCACAAGACAACTAAGGCCTTGGGTTGCACTGGAACCAAGTGAGTTACTGTCATTGTATTCCCTGGCCACCTTCTGGGCTCTGCATGTGACAGGGCCACCCTAGATATCATATGCCTCCTCTCTAGCCCTAGACTGTCCTCATCACCCATGGGAAGAGCCAGATCTTGTGCAAACATCTGCCCTGTATCCAGGACTGTGCACGGCTTGGAGAACCCAGCAGGGCAGGGGATGAGGCGGTACCCTGGTGGGAGGAAATGGATGGCCAGGACAACTCTGGAGCTGTCTTTCCTAAAGAAGCCCCAGCAGATAATAAAGCCATGTAGAAAACAGGATTAAGGTAATGAACAGGCAGGACCAAGTTTGATCTTTCAATAACACCAAAGCCTGACTGACAGGCAATCTGCAAGGTGGAGTGGTATTGCCGGCAGGACGC